ATATTTCAAGGTAAAGTTCCAACTCTTCAACCCAGGGCCTTCGCAGATTTATAAGAGCTGGCAGATTTATAAAAGATCTCTAAATTCCACAGTCAAGCAGTGAGCATATTGGTGTCTTTTGTTTCATTCTCCTTTCAAGAGTTAGGGATTTGCAGTTGCCTGGAAGCCAGATCTAAGCTTTTATGTGGGGACATACTGCTGGCTATTTAGATTTGGCTGTTGCAGCTCTTAATTGAATATCTATAAATCTGGGCTGTTTCCAGGGTTGTCTTGAGCAGAAATTCAACGTTTTGACCTCCCCTAGTGCCCAGACAGTGCCAGTGGAGGAGTAACTCTCCATGACTTACATAATTAAAATGTAGAGCGTGGTGGCCAGCTTGTGTCCTGAAAAATCCCAAGTAAGTGGCTCATGTTTCATCAGACACCTACGAGTCCCTGAAAATTTTGGTGTGCGAGGAAGCGTGTGTGGGCTTTGCTGTCAACTGACTTTTGCCTTGATCTTAGACCCATCCCTTACTAGCTGTATGACTTTGGGCAGATAAATTACCTCCTCTGAGCTTCAAGTTTTTCATCCATTAAATGGAAACAATGACAACTGCCTCAAAATGTTGCTGGGAAGGTTAAATAAGATTTCGTGTAAGGCTATGTTTAAGACGTCTTAGTGGAGCATGGATTCTGGGTATCCCAGAACACTAACATTTAAGGAACAAGCAGCAAGTACCCCTGCTATACTTATTTGAACTCTGGCCATCACTTTCTCAGAGCCTCTGTTGCACTGCAGCATGGTCTGTGTGTGCCCGTCTGCCTAAAAGAGCTTTGAGTAAACCCTGTCTTATTTCTCTTTTTTACCCTCACTGCTTCAAAAACACGAGAATCATAGAAAAGATTTATTTACATGTTTGTCTAATTAATAAATCAACTGGAGGCCAAATATTGTGGATTGCCCACCTTTACAATCTTCAAACACATATATTTCTCCTGATTTAATTCTTTCGATATCTCATCATTGTTTTCTGAATGAAGACAAATCTCTAGGATGGCTTACAGAAAAGCATCTGTTAGGACTGTGAACACAGTGCAGACAGGGGCTGTGTTTCTTTTTCTTTTTCAGCATTATTGAGGTATAATTGACAAATAAAACTATAAGATATTTAAAGTGTACAAAGTGTACATGTATTGTGAAAATTCTCCAGGAGCTGTGTCTTGTTGTCTCATTACCCTTGTTGTCAGGTAACTAGAACTCTGAATGTTTGTGGAAGAGTTTTGCATAAAACTATGGGGGAATCACCATATGAGGTAATAAGCCTGTGAGAACACATGGTCAGAAAGCCAAGTTCTCATGGCCATGAGGGGCTTCATTCTCATGAAGCCTTTTTAGGCAGTCATATTTACAACCAGAGATGGTGCTCTAACACCTCTGATACTGGCCCAACACAAGGTTGACATAAGGGAAGCCGTAATATAGAGAAGAAACCATACTGTAACTTTGAAAGACCTCTGATTAACTAACCTAGACATGCTCTGTAGATTTTATGGCCCCTCCCAGATGCTATAAGTTGATAACCTTGTTCTTTTGAGTTCCTTAGGAATATGATGACCCCCAGGCAGAGAGTCTATGCTGATAGCCATCATCAACGACAACTGAAAGATCAGGATATAGGGCGTTGCTCCATTCTCTGATGCATATCCAGTAAAACAAAAGACTATCAGGAACTAAGACCAGATGTCTGCCACCACCTGGAGATCAGATGGAGGCCCCACTGGGATTAGGTCTATTTTTCAGGGACTGTTAAAATTTGCATTGTCTATACTTCTTATCCTTCTGCTCTGATACTTGATTATAAAATGTGCCTTTAGATGTTGTTCCAAAACTGTTGAGCAAGGTACAAAATTCTAATAATGCAAAATGTCAACCTGAAGCTAGGGACAAGAGAATATTTCCAAATAAGTGCTAAACAGTTTCATTCCTCTAACCCAGATCTATGCTCCAATTCAGCATGAAGTAGCTAGATCAGTAGCTGCCCTGAATCACTCAAGAACTAGGAATGACAAAAGAATATGGGTATTGAAACTGGCAAACAGTTAGCCATTGAAGATTAAGTAGCTAGGAACTACAGTTTTTTTTCCTTTCTGAAGTTACTGAATTATAGCTTTTAGCTATTTAACCCACCCACTGTTAACTGTGCTGTTTAGGCAATATGCTATTTGACTCCCACTAGGTCCTTTAGACAACATCTCCCTGCAACCTGGATCACCATGGTAATGAGTATTGAGCTATTTTTCAGGAATTAGAACCCTTGTCCACTTCAGCCCAGTTGAGGCTACCAACTCATCAACTGGGCCTGCACTGATGTCCAGTAAGTGACCTTTTGATGTCAAGAGTCTAAAACCTCCACCCTCAGATCACGCGAGCGCCACCATTTTGTTAACATGCATCCTATGAAAGGCATGGAGTCTGACTGTGCTCATGCCGATCATCAGTTACCTCACCCTTCCTCACCTCCAGTCATCTATCTCCACATTTCAAACTACCTTGACCCTCTACCCCATAAATATCCCTGAGTCCCCATTTTCAGGGAAGCAGATTTGAGATTCATTCTCTCGCTTTCTCACAGGGCTGTCTGATGATTAAAACCCTCTCTCTGCTGCAATCTCGTTGTCTCAGTGTTGGTTTTCCAGGTGGTGGGCAAAAAAGAACCTGGTGCAGTAACACCTCAGCCGCTATCTTAACAGCGTAAACCCATGTACGTAGAGAAAAGCTTACATGAGGACTAAAGCAAGAACCATCTTTGTAGATGGAGATGTCATTCTACAGTGAAATACTTCAACATCCACTAGAACTCAACAACAACAATAAAATGATATCTAAAAACCTGTCAGAGAATGAAATTCCAAGTCCAGGAGGAAAAAAACTTGATGTGACAAAATGTATTTTTGTCTCTAAGCATCTGTGTACAAGCAGCAAACAAATGTCTGGGACAGGGATGGATTGAAACCCAGAGGGGCTGAACGCAGAAGTTTCATGAAAGACCTGATTCTACCGCTTTTCATTTGACTTCCAAATGTTTCCTTCTATCATATAATGGTGATTTACATAAACAAAGTTGTCTTTTGACTGGCTGAAGGCGTGTCAGGCCTTTTTCCAGTTGCTGGCTCAGAACAAAGCTTCCATGAAGCAGGGGTCCCATCTGGGTAAACTTCCTCACTCAGCACTCAGTGCCACTCACATTTAAATGCAATTAGCACCTTTTGATAACAATGAGGGAGTTCTCAGAGAAAAGCCCATTGATTGTCTATAGATGGATCAGATTTCCGTTTTGCTTTATATTTAATAGGTTCTCCTGCCTCTCTGCAGAAAATCCATGTAGAAGGAGAAAGCATTAAGACCAAAAATAATTGTCAGAATGGATAATAAGGAAGATATTAGATTCATATATTTAAGCTTCTTCCCAGGGCTAAGCTTCTAAGTTAATTATGGTTCCAAATAGAACCCTTTTTGTACAAAAATGTAAAAGAGATGGTTAGCTTTTTGTGTGTTTTGCTTTCCATTTAATGTATCTTTCTATCTCTCTGCTTCTTTTAGTGAATCTTAATTCCAGGGATCTGCACTGGGTCCCTGTTTATCTGGCTCTTATTCTCAGCCAACTGCCAGTCAATTAAAACTAAATATGTTAATATATGCTTTAAATTTTACTGACAAAATTCGATAGTAGAGATAGATACATACATACATCCATACATGTGTTTACATGTGCACAGCCTGGCCAAGGGAAAAAGACTGTCATATAACCTTCTTCTCTTCTATGGCTTCACCCCCACAAACAAACCTAGTAGATGAATTTCCAAGAATATGTAGTTTCATATAGCTGTTCAGAAAAGAATCAACTGCCTGTTTACCACACTTATCGACAATTTGTGAAAGAAGAGACCAGAAATCAGTCTAATTACCAGAGTGCCAGTTGTGCTTGTTAACACCAGCTTTGTGACCAAATGTTATTCCACAGTTGTCACATCACACGAGGGTTTCATTACTAACATAATAGTGAACAAGATCACATGAAAAGGTATTGATTGATCTGCCACACAAAGGAAGGACACACTTGTCTCTCTTATAATATGTTACATCTCTGACAATAAGCAGCAGATGTAGCCCTGCCATTCCTCTTGCTAGAGAAGTGTAATTTCGACACTGTCCTGCTTCTTTAAGCATTTGCCAATTAGGGGCCCCTTTCTATTTGCATGTGTCATCAATGGGCTGAGGAGACAAGAAATTATGCCGCTCTAGCCCTTTCTGATCTTTTAGCCAGACTCAATCGATTCTCTTGAATTGAATCCAGGAGATGCTTGGGGTGTGCACTGTGTTTACTTTATCAATTGTCATTTCTGGCAATAAAAACAAATGGCTGCTTTGTGTTAGGTTGGTTTCATGTGTTTTTCAGGAGATTCGGTTATCATTAGGCAATCCAGAAAGGATAAAGGAGAGGAAGCCAACCCCTCTCGCAGTCTCTCTTCCCTGAATTGTCAGAGTTAGATGGCAAAAGGTGCCGGTGATCTCAAGTGAGCTAAAGCCCTTCTCGCCATATCAGGTCCTATATTATGGTCGTTTGTCTCTCAAAAGTTCGACAGACTTGTACTTGGCCCAGGTTTTTCAAAGCAGTAGTCACCTTTGTTTTTAAATGAACTCAGTGAATATTATAACCTGGAAGTGCATTTGTTTACCACGGAGCCAGGCACCTACACACTTACCCAGCATCATCTTATCAGATGATAAGTGAGTTATCAGGCAGAACGTGGCTCCTCACTGACTCCATTTTCCTGTTTATGCTTGTTGAACAGATACAATTTAATGAAGAATATGAGGTACTTAAAATCCATCTACCATTAATAGTTTAATTAAACTGACACATACTTCAAAAACAGAGCGACAGAAAACATTTATTTTGGTTATAAAGGGCATGGCATTATTAAAGTGCAATTAAAAACAACATTCATTTACAGTTAACAGCTAAAACAATTTATTTAACACTGGATTGTCACTTGTGACTAACTTCACCTCTTTGATGTGGGGATGTTCTGTGTCCCTGTTGATTGTTATGGTTCATTCCCTCGAATTCCAAATGGAGTGGCATTCTCAGAGCATCAGCATCTTCATTCGGTCCCTTCTGGCTTGTACGCACTGTAAAGTATGAAAATTTAACCAACTGTTTTGTAGTGGTAACAGCTACCCTGCAAATAAATTGTGATCATACAGCATATGTGAAAAGTTTCACCTACTCTGAAAACATTAGCCGAGGTTGTGCTTTCTCTTCAGGCACTTTGAACAATAGGAGGCAATGTAGTATAACCATTAAAGAATGTGGATTCTGAACCTGTGCTGCCTGGTTTCCAATTGAAGATGCCAGACTTCTCCCCAGGTAATCTCAGGCAATGGTTTCAATTTCTATGTGCCTCCTGTCTGGAAATGGAGATAAAAATAGCACTTATGTTTTCAGGATTAAATGAATAATAGATTTAAAGCACTTAGAATGCTGTTTGACACATAATAAGTGCTCAAGAATATTAACTTGGATCAATATTATCATCATTAAGTTTTGAGGATAAAAATTAAGACCTATAAAGCATAACCTCAATCAGTCGAGGATTAAATAGGCAAAAATGAATGCTCCACAAGAAGGAGTAATCCAACCATCCATTTGCACTTCAGTTTGTCCTCATGAATCTATATACTTATATAAAATTTGCAACACCTAAAATTTTGGATCCTCTCCAGAAAAGAATACATAAAATCTAATACGTGGAATGTTAGTCAATACAGATGGACTCCCTTCTGTTATAGACGAGAGAATCGAGGCCCAGAGAGGTTACGGAAGAGCAGAATGTTCAAGACCAAATGGAGAGCTGGCAACAGAAGCAGAATTAGAACTGAGCTCTCTTAGCAACCAAGGTAATATTCCTTCCACTGCTTACATCTACCATTATCCTCGCGAGTGAGAAATGGAAGTAAAAATGAGTTCCAGAACTTGTCTTTATTTCAGTCTCAGAAGTCTTAGAGCCTAGCATTGACTGAAAGTTCTCCAGTGTGGGTAACATGTGTGAGATATTTGGAGTATGGCGGTACAAGTGTCAGGAAGACCACTCAAGAATATTTGAAATGGAGGCATAGGGGACCAATATAAATTGATAAGATCAGAGCTCATAAAAGTAATTAAAAGGCACTTCTCTTATCATAACTATAATTTGGCTGTGGCCACCAGAATTTACTGACAGTCCTCCACAGAAGATACCAGAGAGCCGTTTATGGAGAAGTGAAATTTGGCAATTGAAAAAATCTAGGGTAACCTATTGATAGAAGACCCATATAAAATTTTTATCCCTGTCCCTGAAGGTAATTGGTCAGTGGATCTCAGTAGACAATGTCTGAAGACTTGGCAAGTATGAAATAAACTAGATTGGTAGACTTGAGGGAAATATGTGCTAGTAGATTTTAACTTGAATATTACCTACTTGTCGTAGCTTGGACTAGCATGCCGGGGCCGAGGAGCTTCATTAGTGCTCTTTTGAATGGACTTTGACTAATGAGCCAGCACTTATTCAGCACTATTTGTGGATCTGTCAGAAACTGTTAGGCTCCTGTTCCTCACTCTGCCCTGCTCTGAAGATGTTTCCACCTGATTTCAAGTACTGTCTAGATCTGCTCATGCCCTGAGATCAGTTAGAGGTTGATCGTTAAATACTTGTAATCATAGTGGGTCCAGACACTTCTTAGTACTCACCCACTTTTGATGCTGGAACATCACATATATGACCCTGTTGAGATCCTGACTTTCTTCATGCTGTACTTTTATGCTGGGTCCTTGACCTCTACTCCCTTTCCTCCTGGAACCTGGCTGTCTCTAACTTACTTGCTGCTTTCTGCTTGAGATCTCAGGTCATGCTTCACTTCTCCACACACCTGTGTGATAAGAGTATTTTTATGTAAAGTTGGGGGAAGAGGACACAAGAGAAATGTGAAAAAAACAAGGCCTATTGACCTGGAACATGAATAAGACAGACAGTTATGAACCATTAGATAATCAGGCAGGCTTTGTAAGGTGTTCAGTTGTACCAGATGACACATAAACAACAGAATAGTTACAAGAGAGAGTGGTAGATACAGGGTAGACATGTCAGGCTAGGCTTTCCAGAGACCACAGGACTTGGGCTGATCTTCAGAAGTGCTCAAGGTCTTTAGACAGGCAGAAAAAGGTTGAATGAAATACAAGTGAGAGAAACATTAGGAATTAAGAGAGAGAGGCAACAGTGAGCCCAGGGTTGGGGAAAAGGGAAGAAAGAGGGGCAGAAAGGAGAGTGCTGAGACCAAACCAAAAACTGGTACTGAAAAGTATGGGTTAAAGTTGGACAGGTATACAGAGCTGTTTAATGACTGACCTTTCTATTTAGTTATTTCCATATCATAATCTAAGAATAAAATAAAAGAAAGAAAAGTTCATGACAATTGAACTACAATAGGGTTTTAGGAATATGGGCTATTCCTGCACAGGTTTCTCCTGTAAAGTCCTCCTAATGGGTACAGCAAAGGTGTGGTAAGAAATTAAAATAGGAAGGATGTTATGGAGCTTCCTGGCTGGGCTGTCCTTTCTTGCTTCACCTTATTGAGTACATAGAGCTATTAAAATTGCACAACCCAATTTCCAGCAAAAGAGTCTAGGTCAACTGATTTAATTTCACCCAGACAATCTTGCCAGCTCACTCAGTGAATCAAACAATAATCCTCTAGTTAGTGGATCAATAAGAAATTAAGAAGCAATTAAAGAGAAATGAAAAAAACTTAAAAATTTACATCGATCTGGCAGTAAGGTTTTGTTCATCTTAGAAAATCAAGGTTTAGAAACAATCGAAGGCATTGTCCTGTCCTTGCCTTCTTTCTGTTGGTTTGAAAATTTTTAAAAGAAAAAGTTAGTGAAAAAAAACAGTAAAAATATAAAGAACTTTAAGAGTTAAAACTCAAACAACAAATAACATAATTTCATTTATATTGAAATATAAAATATCTTCTCTTCCCAATGGTTTAAGCAAAGAGCTAAATGGAAACAGTATAGTTTCTGGAAATACCTGTACTATGTAGAGCTGCAATAGAATAAGAATCTGTTTTCCAAATAATCATTTCATTTGCAGCCCAGAGGCCACATTTCAAAATTAAAACTGTCACCTTCAACTAAGATCGTTTCAGTTCCAATCTCTCTCTGAATAACCAAAGCTTAGAAGCACTATTTACTTCACCCACCAAAACAAAAAAAACAAAACAAAAGTTTTTTTTTTTTTTAAAAACAAGAACCCTTCATATAGTGTCCAGTTGTTATCTTTCCCAGGTCTAGTAATTATAGCTGCAAGCTGGGAAATAGAAATACATGCTTTGGTCTATTTCTCCTACTGAAATGTTGGCTAACCTGTGATAAGTTGTTTAACCCCACTGGCTCTGTGGATCCACCTCTGTTTAAAAGGTGAGGAGAAGTTGTTGCTTAGCTATGGAAAGTGCCTAGTGCAGGTGAGTGAGCGCAAGTCTATTAAGCGCACAGCACAGAGACGTGATGTAATAATGAAATAGCGTGATTTTTAAAGCAAATCTTTAATTCAAGGATCAAACCTAGTTATCATGAGCATCTAGAAAAATTTCTCTGAGTGAAAGAAGATAGCCCTTTCCTTAAATGGATCACCCATAACAACAACAAACATGAAAGTACAATAAAGGTGGAAAGAAAGTTAAGTGAAAAAAACAATGCAGTTTTCTTCTCAAGGAGGGCCTAGAAAGAAGCCAGCATGTCCTGAGGTTTCTTCTCAAGCAGGCATAATCATTGTGCACGACTGCTCTCATTTCCCCGCTGCAGAATAAAGCAGCAGACAATTACTGAGCATTACCTATTTTCTGGGCACTGATCGCGGTGGGGGCATGGGTTTCAGAAGGTTCCGATGTTGGATGAAGTGTTGTATGCCATAAATGACTGTATTTCCTCTTCTGATTTAAAGGTGTTTTATTAGACAATACATGCCATCTTTTCTTTATGTTTCACACTAAATCTTTCAAATAGAGAGGTATTATGTGAGAAGCTGCGTGGGGTGCTTAAAGACCTGCACGCCATCAGGAATGCAATTAAAATTGGCATTTATAAAAGTATATTTTGATTCCTAATCCTGTTTTTACAAGTGCAAAATCACATTAGAAAACAATGTGATGCTAATTAAAGCTTTGTCACCCATAAGACCTTAGTGAATTGCATTTGTAATAGGCTCTGATGCAGAAGCAATTTCTGCCAGGGAAACTTAAGCAGAGTATGTGACTACATTTCCTGTTACTCTGTTAAAATCAAAGCTACAGTTATGTATATTACTGTCGTGTTCTTATCTCTAAACTGGACTTGAAATGTCATGTCATCTAAAGTAAAATTCAAAAGCTGAAAAAAAAGTATTGCATTTTATTTGCATAAAAAGCAATCAGAAGGCCAGAGATACTGTTGATTTTTACTGATAAAAATTAAGAGGACTCATTGAAATATCAACATATACTTCAGATCATATATGCATCCCACCTTGCAAGAACAAAAATGGCTATTGGGAGAAAAAAACAAAAAGGAATTGGACTTTGTTCTCCTGTTTATATAAAAGTCACCTATAATGTTTTAAAGGCTGAATAAAATAACTTTTTTATTCCTACATAGTTTAAGTATGTGAGTTTTTGTAGGATTTTCAGGTCAGTCCTAACCTACCCACACCACGGTAATTAGTAAAATCCCAGATATAATGGGCACTCAAACATAAATGCAGGCTCAGTTCCTCTTGATTCCAGGAGCATCACCAGAGCTCTGATTATGGATGGAGAAAGAAACCACACAGATTAGAATCTGAAAACCACCCAGAGCCTGCCTTGACCTTTACAAATGACCACTAACGTTACTTAACTGCTTTATTAATGTAGATGTCTGGGTGTATGTGTGTGCAATTTAAATAGTCTTGGAGCATGCCAATTTTATACTGAAAATCTCACTATAGTAACAAGTAACAAAACCCACATCATTTTTCATGATTGACCCAAACAGGATGGTTTCAGACATCAAGAACAGAAGTAATGTGGCCTGGAGGAAGCAAAATGGACACGGATAATTGATACCTATGAGAGTAATTATATGGAAGTCTTAAGCTCTTAAAGATTCTCAGTAAGTGATAGTGCATTAAAGTTATTTTTAAATATTCAGATATGAATCCTTGAGGTTTGTTTCAACATGTGGTTATAGACAAACATCTAAGCAATAAAAGAGTGTCCAGACCAGCATGCCTTTAGCCTTTGCCAAAAAGTAAAAAAATCTATCTATGCATATATGTATATCTTGATCTCGAGTCAGAGAAATGAATAAATGGAGATACAAACATTTGAAACAGACGAATTGATGTAATTCTGACAAAGAAATGCACCCAGCAGATAGGACAGCAAAGAAGTAACCCCGAAAGTGACCAAAATAAGAAGAATGCTGTGAATATGGACAAGGCTGGGTTAGGGACTGGGAATCAGAAAGTTGTGCACAAGGCAAATAAAAATAGCCAGAGATTTAACAGCAGTGTATGAACAATAGGTGAAAAAGAAAAAAAAAAACATCAAATGAATCCAATATTTGGAAGACAGAAATGTTCTATGGTAAGATGAAGGAACGTGCAGGGGGAAATAGGCATGAGACCAAAGGAAAAGAGTACGTATTTCATCTTGCGAGGGAGTGGCAGCCATTGAAAAGACAACCCGTAATTATAGTAAACCTAATAAACAAAGTAAATATAAAGAGAAGGGGAACTGAAAATAGAAAAAGGAAATTATGTGGTTATTTTCTTCCCTTT